CCCCCCCCAGGAGCTGGAGGGAGCTCCTTGAGGAACCAAAAGGGTTCTCAGGGGCCTGAGCTCTCAGCCTGCTAGCTCATGTAGACACCAGGCTCCTAGGAGGGTGAGAGTCCATGTGGGCACCGGAGCAGCTGTTTAGAAGGGGCTAAGGGGACTGCAGGCAAATTGAAAAAGTGAGACCAGCCAGGTGAGGACCTTGCCTCGGAGCTGCCTCAGAGTAGGACTTGCGTCAGTTGTCCATGTCAATGTCTGGACAGGTGTGGGGGTAGCCGAGCCACCCAGGCACCCTCAACCCCTCACTGGGTGTGAGCAGTGATACACTGGGCCCCTGGCTGGCCACAGGCTCAGGGAACATTTCCTGCAGCCATCTGAGATTTACAGCTAGATGGGTGGGAGACGGACCCCTTCAGGCCTCCTTGCACCTCCGTTTCATAACCGAACCCTTTCTGCTGCAGGTGAGGTGATCAAGCACGGGGACCTGAAATGTGTGCGTAACGAAGGAATGCCCATCTACAAATCACCCCTGGAGAAAGGCAGTCTGGTCATTCAGTTCCTAGTAAGTCCATGTGTCTTGTTCTCAGGGGGCACATTAAATGGCTTAATTGGGATGGGAAGAAATAGCTACTGCTCTTTCCCACCTCACCCTTTACAGGTCATCTTTCCTGAAAACCACTGGCTTCCCCTAGACAAGCTGCCTCAGCTAGAAGCTTTACTCCCTCCTCGGCAGAGCGTGAGGATCACAGACGACATGGATCAAGTGGAGCTCCAGGAGTTCAACCCCAGCGATCAGAGCTGGCGCCAGCACCGGGAGGCCTACGAGGAAGACGAGGATGGGCCCCGGGCTGGGGTGCAGTGCCAGACGGCGTGACGTGGCCCTGGTGCCCACGCATGTGAACGTAAGGTGGCACAGTGAAAGTGGCCTCGCTTTAACAGCCTGTCAGGTGTCCTGTGTACGTGTTCAGCATTCTCAATTGCTGAGTGTCCTTTGGGTTTTCTTTTGGTTGTAACCTAAGTTATAGCTTAATTTATATTTAAATGTTTTAAATGTAAACCACTTCTAGTCTGCATATGGAATCTGTTTATTTACATGTTCAGGATCCATTGGAGGTGCCAGTGACCGCACAGACATGTTGTGCTTGCAGTGGCTTTGCTGTAATTCAGTCCCACCAATAAAGCACAGCCCAGAATGCAGCCCTCTGCCCCCAGCTGACCTCCAGGCACCTGGCCCATCTCTGGTCTGAGTTTCTCTCCCCTCCCTTCACGGTCCAGGTGCTGAGGGCATGATCTCAGGGCTGGTAACGTGAGTCTAGATTCTAGCTGGTCCGCCTAGAGAATAAAAGCACATCTGGGGACTAGAGTTGGCTGCAGCACCTGGGTTACGCTGACTGGGCTGCAGGGCCAATTTTGTTCTAGTATTCTGTACCCGAGTGAATGGAATGGAGAGTGAGTGTGTCTGACCACCTCTCTTGGAAGCTTCCTGAACCTTCCAAGCTTCATGAAGACAAACCTGTTTTAAATGAAATGCTGATGTAACTGTTTGCCTGTGCCCCCCGCACCTTGTTCTTTGTGTTTTAATGATTTTCTGTTGACAACTTTCGCAATGCTTTCCCACCAAAGTGCTTACCTGTAAAGAAAATGAAATCACCTGTGTCCCCAGCAGCTTCAGTGCAGCCACTGAAGCTGTGGGAGAATGTGGGTAGTAGGCCCCAGGGCACAGCCCGCTTCCTGGATGACTTGAGGATCTGGAGAGGTACAGGATGTGTTTTCCACCTCAATCTCCCAGACTCAGCCCCCTTCCAAAGGATTGCACCTCTCACTGCACAGCCATAAATAAGGGCTTCCTGCTCGTGACAATGTCTGTGAGACCTGCACTGACTGCTGCCGTCTGTGTGGATGCTCACTGTGAATGACAGCTTGTTGGGAGGGATGTCAGTCATTTCACTCCTGACAGGTAGACTACACTTTAAATTTCGTGTTACCTCAATATTTAGCTATTACTGATCCTCTCCTTCCCAAAACAGTCCTGAAGGAAAAAACTACCTTCTCAGCTGCTGGGTTAAAGCAGAGGTCACTGTCACATCCACCCTGACTTGGCCATGCAGCACCTGTGGGTGTGGCTCAGGCCAGGACCTCCCCTGGGAGGTCCTCCCCAATTTGCTCAAAATGGGTATAGAAGAGCCCACCTGAGCCACTGTGATCACTGGTCAGGACAGACATAAAACCTATTCTTCCAGCCAAGCCCATGTGAACATCAATTTATAAATGGTCCACAACTGCAGGGTGTCCTGTTTCTGTGCTGTCACTTCCTAATGAATTATTGCTAGAAGACTGTCTAGTTGATGACGGGGCAAAATTACATCCAGCTCCTTCCTTGTCAAGTAAATGGAATTTGGAGGGTGTTGCTTAAAATTTATTCCACCTGTACATTTGTCACTTTAAAATTAAAGTTGAGCTGGTATGACAGACAAATGGCTGTGGTTTTTTATTTTCTGGGCCTCAAGGGAACCGGGTTAAGTGGCAGCTTGCCTCGCACTGGCCAATATAATGGAATGAAGTTTCCACTCATGGAGCTTCTATCTGGGGGACCAGTGCGAACAGCAGGTGGTGGTAACTGCTATGAAGAACAGAGTGATGGGAAAGGGTGGCAGGAGCGGCGGAGGCCTCTTCCCTGGCCTCTGAGCAGCTCCCTGAGTGCAGTCTGAGGGAGGAAAGCTCCAGGCTGAGGAGACGGCAAGACCTGTGTGGTCGCAGGAGGGTGAGCAAGACCAGGAGGCGGGGGAGAGGCAGGGGCACAGGAGCTGACTCACAGGCATGTGAAGTTCTGATCAATAAAAAGAACAAGCTCAGAGTGTCAGCTACACGTCCTGTTCACACGCAGACCAGCCTCAGGCACAGGTGCTCCGGGGTAACGGGCGGGGCTGCGCTCAGCAACAGGCACCAGGAGTGCCTGTAATTACTGGGGCAGCAATGTCCACCAGCAAGCAAGAGCCTTCTCTGAAATTAGGAGGGTAAACAGAGAGTGTGGTAAGGGCCATTATTAATACATCAAATAGAAGGATGCCCAGATGGGAAGGACTGCAGGACATCCCTAGCTAGTCAAACCCCATTTCCTCCAGCACCCCATTCTGGAACAGGTCAGCTTCCTCATCACAGCTTCTGCATGACCCTGGGACACCAGGGTGAGCCTGTGTCTCTAAGCTGGAAGTCCAGTAGGTACCTGGATCTCCATCTCCAAGGCAGATGCTTGCTTTCACACAATGGTGCTGACTCCCCTCGCTGTGTACCGTTAATGGCACATGGAAACGGAGCATGTTCAAGAATTCAGGAGCTTACATTAAGAATACTTTATGTTAAAGTATAAGCAGCATTTCCAATAAAACATGAAAAGATTTACGTTGTATCTACAAAATTTAAGTTCTGCTATAATAAATGCTGTATATCTTTTAAACAAGCTAGAAAGATAAGGAATGTGTTCAGTCTGTACATTCTCTCTGCAGCATTGGCGTGGAAGACTTTGATGTTTAAATTGGACAGTCATAGATGTGAATTTCCTGATCGTCTCCAACAGACACAATTTTTGAGCCATTTCCATTGTATTTTACTCCCCAGACCTGTAAATAAAGTAAAAAGAAAAAGTTCTGCTAATGTCTTCAGTCTTTATGAACGAACATCCTTACTCTGTTCTCATTACACTGAATCCAGAAAACCCCCGAGATGAGGATGTTCCCTTGCTTTCTGAACCAGTGAGGCATCTTTAACGACCACTCCCCTCACCTCCAAACCCCAGAAAAAGTATTAAAAGTATTTTCTAAACAGAAACCAAGGTATCTACAAACCTTTCAAAGACGCCGAATCCAGGGAGTGACTGGTGCCATGAAGATGGAGCCCATAAGGGAGCAGCATGGGCTCTCGGGTCTCCAAGAAGAAAAAGCCCCCC